GACATGATTTGACCATCTTTTTAATATTTTGCAGATAAATAAAATTTTGTTGTTTTTTTAAAGGAAGCGCAAAAAGCAATTGAAATTGTCAGCAACATTTTTTTTGACAACTTTATATACATATTTTTAAAAGCGTATGTATATAATATTAAATCCGTCACAGTGCGAGACATCCTATAGTACTAATACAAACTTAACTAAAATGAGAAGCAGCATCGATTTATTGATCCCTCTAGGTGCTTTAAATATTCAAAGTAGCTTCTGAACTAATCGGATGCAATCAAGCAAAGTCACTGTTTGTGGAGGTATTTAGATAAAAACTGTGGTTATTATGTTTTAATATTAATGGTTTAATTTTTTAATGGTTAAAATTAGCGTATTCTATTATGTAGCTTCAATATTAAGAAATATATTTAAGCGTATAAATAAAAAAAATTTATTATTATAAATAATAAATAAATTTGTTTGAAGGGTATTCAAACTTCGGCTAAGCCAAAGCAAACCTTTATATTTACAATATTTTAATTTACACAATTACACAATGACTAACTATTTACTCTTTTTTTTTTGCCGTAGAAATGATGGTGACTTTTGTATGCCCAACAGCAGAGAACTGTCAGCAATAATTTCGTCTGTTGCTGCAACGACATCACATTTAATGACAACAGTTGCAACTGGAATAACACATCCTACAACACAATTACCACATACTTCCATCAGCAACATAATTGTAACAAAAAACAAGTGCAACGACAAATCTTGCAGTAGCAATAATAACAGCAACAGCAAGAGCAATAGCAGTGGCATCGATAACAATGATGTTGTTAACAGCGGCAACAATGACAAAAAAAGCAACAATACTAACAACAGCAACAATAACAACATAAATGATAACAAGCTAAATGCAACAACACTGAATATTCCGGCAACAATTGAAGAACATCAACAAGAACAACAACAGCTAACACAGCAACAACTTAAATTGCTACGGCAAAGCACTAGCAGCGATGATGATTCCGCGATGCAATCATTTGAACGCCGTGATTCCAGCTCAAGCGGCTTTTATACACGTAGCGGCTGCAGCGCAACTATGGAAAGTGAATACAGTGCAATGGTGGCATCGGTCTATCAAAACGAAATGGCCAAGTAAGTACACCTCTCCTGAAAGGCACTCTTACCTTGTGAACGTATATTCAATTTTAGTTACATTTCTCCCCGCACTTATGAAACTTGTTTCTACCTGGGCCGTAGATAAATAAATTTTTATTTAAATAATTATTGTATAAATTTTTGAAGTGGTTCAATATTTTTGTGCAGTGGTGTAAAATATCTGTTCTGTAGATGCAATACAAACAGTAATAGTTATCTATTTGCTTGTAGAAGTTGTCGAATCAATCTTTATTAGTTTTATTAGCATAGTCCGTGCTAAACTAGACAATTTTAAATCTTTTTGAAAATACGTTAATCTCAAAATAATGCTAATGTTGACTTAACTTCTACAAACCGACTGGAATATGTACAATAACACTATTAGTCTCTGACAAAATTATAGTAAAACTATAACTACACAATCAAAAACAGAACAAAAATTCGGGGTCCCCTATAAAATCTTATGGAATCCTAAAGAAAAATTGAATTTTACATCAGAAAAGACAATAATAAATAAATACAATAATAAAAAAAACAATTACATACTTATCAACACTCGATCCGTGTTATTCAAAGGTCAATATATGTAATTTTAAAATACGTGTCTAGTTAATTTAAAAATTGTACATAGGGCTTTCAATAATAAATGTTTACAACGACAAATTCTCATCGTGTCAAAATAAATTATATTCTTTATATACTAAAAAACTGGAATGTGGAATTCTTATATATACAACATTATCCGAAGAGTCTGAGCATCATTATTAATAAGCAGAAACCTCATTAGAAAACACTGGTACCTAAATCCTAAACTCAGCCACTGGATATACACCTTAATTGCTACGCTTATTGTTACATATGAATCATTTATCTGCGAAAGCTACGAAAGCTGCAGAGACTAGCCAGCATAATGACAAGTGGAACGATGAAAACCACCCCCAACAGCAACCCGTGAGATTGCATTGGGGCTCCCCCCACTTCACCTACTTGTCAAAAAGGAAGCAATGACCCTAATAAATAGCCAAGCTATAGTTGACTAGTAATCAATTAACAAGATCACTCGATAACACTCCATTCCTTCTAGGGAAGGAAATGCAATGCGAGGAAGGACTAAATATCACCATACATGACATTTACTCACCTAAATTTAACTTCAACCAATAGTTCCTTGCACTAATACCAAACAGAAATGACTGGGAACGGAACATACCTCCACTTCTGGTAGTACTAATAAAAAAGCATCTTAAGCTATACTTATTCTATTTTACTTAACACTATAAATATGCAGCAATATGTAACAGTTCTTATAAAAATTCTCAAAAAAATTTAGGGAATTTTAAATGTGAACATGGTATTACTCTCGGTCTACGCTGGTTTTAATTTTGACAGTTTGTTAAATACCTCATTTTTCTGGTTTATCAAATTTTTAAAAGAAAGTTATAATTTTCTTGCTTCTTCGTCTCGCAAAAAATGACAGTAAAATTCGACAATATGCAGAAGTCTTTAAACATCTAGATCTAGAGTAAATATGCAGAAATGATTTTTATAAACTATAGTGTTCAAATTTTAAAAATAACAATTTACAACGATTAAGGTATTTTGTGTAGCTGTGGTTTATGCGTTAGTTCAAATTAATAACACAGTAAGTGTAAATATGTATATAAATAAGTATATAAATAAGTACATATAAATAAGTATATAATATAAATAAATTTAAATAAAGTTGTTAAATTCTAAATGTAAATAAAGTAAATTGAGTGCATATTTGATTAGTGTGTTAATATGCGAGTCCACGGTTCGAAATTGATAGAGTTCAATTTCTGACACTAATAGTAATAATTAATAATTATATATTAACAATTAAATTAATATATATTTTAAAGACCACTGATGATGCATTATTGGCGATATCAGAAACAGCTCTATAAGCAGCCGTAGTATTCACTTAAATAAACATTTGAAAAAACTTTTTAATTTTAAAAATTTTTCCCTCTCTTACAGATTTTTTGTGATGAGATAAATATAATTTTTAATTATAGTTTTTATTTATAATTTTTAATTTAAAAGCAGATATTTATCCTTACGTGAATTCTACTTTTATTTATATATATTATGTTTGTGTACCAACGTTCGAAAAGAAGAAAATATTTTCATTTTTCTAATATCTGTAATATTTTATATACAAACATCTTATACAAACATACTTCAACATCTTAGTTTTTATATGTAAGGACTTTCGAAAAAAAAAATATAGTTCATCGCCCTTTTATCTATATAGATCACTTTGTACGATCACACTAATCTTACTGAACTATTAAAAATGAAGGTTGAGTTACATATTATGTTGTATAAATTTGTTTATATACATACGTACATTTGAACATCCAAGACTGGAAAAAAATTTTTACTCGAACAAGTATGTCATACATATATGATTATTCAAAATTCAAAATTTATATCTATGTATGTATTATTGTAAATTGTATTAATATAATAAACACTATTAATGATATAATTATATTTATAATCCTCAACTAGATTAGAGCTAGTTCACAATATACAATTAAAAATTGATTACTAATTGTATTTATAATTCTCATTATGTTGTAACACTTTGGTTTATAAATACATCAGCTAGGTTGTGTATACAATTGTAAAAATATTTTAATACAAATTTGTGCTCAATTGACCTTGTTTTTCGTCTTCTTCACTTTTTTCTAACGAGGAAGAAAATTAAATTTCTTATAAGAGACTTTAAGTTTATAGAATTTGCGTGTAAAAATAAATTTTAAAATTGTATTGAAGGAATTTCAATGCCCTTATGAAATAATTAAATAAATAGTTAAATAATCAGTTTAAAATTCACATTTAAGATCTCGTTGAAGAATAGCTGGGCATCTACATTGGCTATGCCTTGGAAATTTTCATGTTCGAACGAAATTAGGTATCTCTTTTAAGTCTTGTCTGCAAACCTAGACTTGTATGTGCTATTGAAAAAGTGAGAGTATGTGCACAAATTTAAAAAAGTTAAGCCAGTGTAAACAGAGAGTAATACTATGTTTACCCTTAAATTTATGAATTTTGTATACATTTTGTATAAAAATTAACACATATTGCTGTATGTTTGTGGGTGTTTGGGCAGCACTAATAATACTAAACATAGCGAAAGCGCCTAAAGAGAAATGCTAAGTCAGATCGAAAACAGAAAGGGTTTGTTATGGTCAGTAAAATAAATAAGTGTTATATCAAACAACTTTTATAACTCAACAATTTCTTCACTAAAGAAAGAAAAGGACGTTTTAGAGCTATATAAACCTTACCTTAGAAGTAATATGAATTTTTTCAGACATCAGTTTAAATTAAATAATATTTGAATTATTATAAATTAAATTTAATATACTATTATTATTAATTATATTTAAAATACTGTAATACTAAAAACTAGAATACTTTACACATATTATTGAGAATATAAAAAGGCTTCCAATTTCATAACCGTTTTCGTAGTAAGATTCTTAAACCTACAGAATTATTGATTAATTTCTAAATTATTTATATTATAATAATTTATTTTATTTAAAAACAAAATATTAAATATTTTAATTATTTAATAAAGGCAATTTGACAATCTGATTAGAGAAGAATTTATTTGGACTAACCTTATAACTTTTCTTATGAATTTTGATGGTTCTTAAATATGTTTATTTGAATTCAAGGATTCGTATTAGAGGCAATCTAAAATATTTCAAATAATTTTCTTCTTTATATAAAAATCTTCAATTTTCTTCTTTTCATATAAAAATCAAAATACATTCACAATTTTCATAACTTGAAATGCCATTCTGCAAAGAAAAGGTTGCTATTATGAAGACTTCGAGTTAAAGAGTTGTGTGTAAGGGTCTCTAAACCCTGTTGCACTCTATTTAGTTTAAATTACACAAAATTTGAGTTACACATGTTCGAGTAATGGAAGTTTGGCTGTGTATTTCTTATGTTTAAATAAAATTCGTAATTGGAAATTTAGTTACGATTTTAAAACTTTCCTTTTGACCACAAATCAAAAAACTGATATCTATCGATATCTTAAAAACCTGCTCCACGGATTTTTTAGTTATCATTTTCTGAGTTAGTAGTTTAAAATACTTCAGTGGATATAGAATTTTTTTTTTATTTATTTATATTTTATTTATATTTATTTTGAACTCTTAATACAATTCACTAGTAATACCACGTGCATTCTGTGAGTGATGCATATTATTGCTAGAAATGAGACTCTGATCTGGTATCGCAAAGGACCTTAATGGTCTAACCTTATCTTAACTTAACCTTATTTTACCGTTGAAGTTCAGTTTTAGGCCAAAATCTATTTTTATTTATTTATTATTTTTATTTATTTATTTTTATGTGTTAACGGAAGGTCTGATATTATTTATATTTATATGAACGAGGCTTATATTATTTTTTATTATAAAACTTTTTTTGATCATTATAAGAATATATTCTATGTATTAACATTTTCCACACAAATTTAAAGTTTTTTATAAAACGAAATATTGGAATAAAAGGGTTATGACATAAACACATTCATTTATTTATCTATCTTGAAAGTTTAGACCACCTCCGATACAAAAGTTAGCTTTCCTAAGGAATCACCCTAAGGAAGACATATATTTCAAGTTTTTTATTTGTAAAAAATAAAACCTACGCTTATTACTATGTTAGCTAAACTTTTTTATATAATAATTTTTATATTAATATATATTTCTGACATATTTGTTTACAGCTTGCAATATAAATTAAGTGTCTTCTACTGCATCCTTTTAAATTTTTTTCGAATTTAGGCCATTCCCTTCTATGCAAGTCAAATTTTATTATTTTGTTTATTTCGTATATTTTAGTCTTGAGGTATGTCAAGATATTGTTATGTTCTATTTCTACAAAGAACTATAAATTATGATGATTAGACTTCATCATATGTATAGAATAATTTGGGTTCCTGTTTTCTTAATTATTATTGTCTTTTAACTCTATTATTAGAGCTTCTTCCAAAAATGCATCTATATCTGCAATCTGCAATATCTGCAATCTGTGTGGAGATATCAGAGCTTTTCTTCAATAGTTTTAATATATTTTATTACACATACATCATGAAGCTTCAAAGATTAAGAAATTATCTATTTATTTGCTTTCTTATGCCATTAGATCAAAACTGAGATACTAGTGTATATGTAAAGTGTATATAATGATATATACATATTGCATATGCTTGCTGCTAGCAACTTTAGTCGTCTGTCCAATTTATAGGCTGGTCTATTAATCTTAATTAAATAAGATTTATGTACTTATTTAATTTAATATAAATAATTTAATAATTTATCTCTCTATCTCTGTCTTATCCATGTTTCAAGTGTTGGATATATTAAATCTTAAATGATTTCTTTCGTTAGAATTATTTATTAGCCAAGGCTAAGGCTATTTCATCAAATTCTGGATTAATGGAAATCTAGATTGTTTGGATTAAAAAAAAGCCAATAAAACTTTATGCATCCATTTTGAAGGAAAGCTTAATTAACAATTTTTTCTTTTATTTTTTCATTGCGTGCGATTTAAACCAAAATTATGTAAAAATTCTAAAATCGGAGTGTTTTTTTTAATAACTTATCTCTTATTTGGCTGATGAAGTACCAAATTTGGACGCAAATTAAATTCAAATTATATTCTTGGTCATGTACGTATTAGTATAGGAATTGTCATTTGAATTGCTTTTTGCAAAATAAATATTTGATTATAATTTGTACTCCATATACGACACAATTAAGTCTAAAAATGGTGTGGACTTAATTTATGAGGTCAAAATGAACACATAAAGGCTTTCAGTACGAATTGTAAAAGTGCGATTAAAATGTGTTTTTCTAGTTTTATGAAAAATTTCAAATTATGCTCATTCCATATAAATACCTACATAAATATATGTATATAAATATATATTTATAAGCTATATAAATAAGCTGAGTTTATATTCACAAAACAATTTTTTCGCAAGAAAACAATTTATAAGAATTTAAATACATTAAATTGCAATACTGTAATAGCCATTCAATAATATTTTATACATTAATATAGAAGGGATTTCACTACAAATATTAATTTCAAGATTAACATTTTGAAGTACCATTCTCATCGAGAAATTGGAATAACGAATAGGATTATGTATATCCTTGCTTATACTTTCATAATAGCTTTGCTTTTAGAACTCACTCAAGAAAGGATAGAGAGTCTTTGACGGGTCAAAGATAGGAAAATGTACACGAGCCGAAATCTATACCGCAAAGCAAGGTAAATTCTACTACCTTGGCGATTCTACTTCAATATTTTAGGCACAATTTTTTGTCATGCTATTTTTCCTCTTGTTTTTTTACTGTAAGCATGGTCTTTCATAAAAGGAAGGTCTATATTCCCACTGATAGTCAAGCAGCTATTAAAGCTATTTTAACAGTCATGGAGTCAAACTCGGCCTGCCCTGTCGAACCTCTTGTAATCCATACCTACCGGCATTTAAAAAAGAGATACCAGAGCACCTTTTATGTTTTTGTCCAGGTTTGTTCAAAACCAGGCTGAAGCATTTTGGTGCCCAATCCTTTAATACACTCGCTGATATTTTCAACATTAATATTGGTCAGATACTTGCAATTATTAATGCGTCCGGCTGGTTTTAGAATGCCCATAATTCTACATACAATTACGAGAAATGTGGAAAGTGCTAATCAATTAACTTTCTTTGTTAATTGAAGAAGATTGGATCCTCATTCAACTACCTGCCTAGGTAAAGAAGATGTTTTCTATAACAGTATTGTGTTCGTCATACAGTTTTTAATAGAGTAACCTAGAACCCTGATTGAATGCACATTTCAACTATATTTTAACTATAGAATAAAACTAATGATATGAAATGATAAACAATAAGACAACAACACTGTATTTGATCGTATAGGCGAAGCAGTTAAAAAATACCTGGTACAGGCCTTTGATATTGTTAGAGCCCTCGAATGTTAAAATATCTCAACTTGAATATATCTCTATATCTAGTACCAAAGAAAGTTTTAAACGAAATTGACATTCCTACAACAGGATACTTATAATTGAAAAAAAAACTTCTAATGCCATTAAAAAGTTTCTTCACACCACAGCTACAAAGATCACTTCATTTATATTTTTTTTTTCACTCGATAGATTTAGCTAACTTTTTGAAATTTTGGTTTACAAATAGTTTTGTAGAGTTTAGTATTCTGAGGAACTCTTTTTCCTACGGTATACATATTAACGTAGTCTGGTCTTTGAGATATTTGATTTAAAGTATAAACTTTTATAATGATTATACTAAGCTATTTCATTTCATTAGATGGCCATGACGTGAGTCATCCTTGGCCACGTCTAGTAGTCTCCGCCAGCCAGCCTGATTTGTTGCTTACTGTCGCCAGTTGGTAGTACCGAGCGCTACTCAAATCGTTGGTCACCTGGTCCTTCCACCGAAGATGCGAATGTCCTCTATCATATTTTCTACCTGTGGCAAGCTCCGTTCTAACCGGAACACTTTCTTCTATTCGCACGACAAGGGACCATACCTCTTTCGAAAAATTTTGCTCTCAAATCCTCCTAATATCAGGCATGTTAAAAGATTTGTAGAGCGTGACTTTTGTTTGTCAGGAGAGGGCTTAATTTCTCAATTGCCTGCTTAACCCGAAATAACATCTCTTGGCAAGAGTGATCCTTCGTTGAATCTCTAGGCTGACGTAATTTTTAATGTTTAAGCTGGTTTCAAAATAAACAAAGTCGGACTTTCACAATTTCGGACTTATAATTGTCGACAGTGACGTGGTTCCCAAGACGCTCAGGAGATTTGCTTGTTGACAAGAAGTACAAAGTACAAAACAAAGCTATGTTAATATAAATTAGTCATTAAATTATGAGGATTAGGAAATCGGTAATATGTTTACTAGTGACGGAGATGAAGGAATTCTCTCTTTCATATTTGTCTTAGGCAGAAAACATATTTTATGAACAGTTTCATATAAAGAACTGTTCAGTTTAAGGACTATCCAGCTGATACTATTTCAGATAATGAGAAATGAGGTACCATCAAGAATCTGGAATTGGTTCATGGTATTTATATTGAAATTTTTAATAAATGTATATGTAAATGATGCAAAAGTAGATAGAAACTTTTCATTTTTGAATATTCTCTCGAAGTTTATTAAGTGCGTGCAGTACAAGTTTTCAAATATAGAGCATTCGCTCTATATTTTTGGCAGGTATATTATATGGAATTTAAATTTTAATTTTATTTGAATATATATATATAAAATATGTGATATATAAAAATATACTAATTCACAACATTTTGTTTATTTTTGCAGTAGTGATAGTGCATCTGTGGCATCAGATTTGACCCGCATGTACGTCAGTGATGAAGATGAGAAGCCAGAATTTCAAGTTACGCACTTCCATTGAGGACATTTTTACTATTTATGAATACAAAAGTTAATTATTAATATTAAATGTAACAAATATCTGAAATCGTGGTACAAGGAACCGTTTGCCTTCAGTAAAATTTATTATAGTAAAAATAGTCAAATTGTATGTGAGATAGGCGATGCCATCTTGTAATTGCTGTTAAAAATATTTTTCCAATTCGTTACAGAGTAAATATTTTTACTTATTAATTTTTTTTTTGTTTTATTGGCTTAAAAATATGGAAATTATTATTTATGTGTGTATTTTTTATGATAATGATTATTTTTCAAATAATTGAAATTGTTCCAAAAAATTGGTATAATTTGGTATAATTAAAAAATAAAATATTTCAAAAAATTAAATTTATCAATGTAAGATATATATTTTTTTATTAGAAGATTGTAAATCTAAAATTATTAATTAAACAATTGTGAAATGGGAAATACTATGTATAGTAGAATGAATTTAAAATGATGGCTATTACTGATGTAAACACATACATTAATACGTTATATGTTAGATTTATTTATATATCGTTTTAACGATTTTAAGTCATTACTGCTTTTGCATTAAAAATTTTATAAAAAAATTATTCAACATAACACAATGAGGGATATAAATTTATACAATAATAATATTATATTATAAAAAAATTTCAAAGTGTTTTATTTTTCAATAATTATTTTCACATATAATATTATTTTACTAATATTATTTTAATTATATTATTTTACTAATATTATTTTACTAATACTATTTTACTAATATTTTAAATTAATTATATTTAAATAAGTTTTGCCAACACCAATGTAAAAATTTTCTTACTATAATTTTAATTTAATTATAAATAGTAAATATTAATTTCCCAATTTGAAATATTTGTTTTGCTTAAAACTTAAAGAAACTTCAAAATATTATGTAGTTATGGCAAAAAACTTAGTCTGAGGTCAGATCCGTACCCATATATTATTGTATATGTACATATTGTTATAAAGAAAAATGATACTTTTTTTGGAGACTTTTAATGAATAATTTGTTATAATGAAACAGAAAATATTAGTCAATTATAAGTCAAATCTTAAATTTTCCATGGATTCCTTACTATCTTTACAGTTTTAAGTAAAAGAAAATATGAGTGCTGTTT